ACTTAAGTTACTGCATGATTGTTTTATAATTTTAATAAAACTAATTTCTTCTATTAAATTTTAAATATATTTTCCCTGAATTCGTGATTATTCGTCGTCATGCATGGACTAAATGCGTGACAAATTTAAGATCACGCATGTGTTTCTGCCAAATGCATGTTACATCCAAAATCACTTTGAAGCGGGACCGTCCCGCACGATGCGCGAGAAACGGTTGGTAATGCGTTTTGTAAGCCAGGAACCAACAGTATTTTGTTACGTTCTTTCACAGAGGGGGTTCGTTGACTTTGGGAAAAAAATGGCACCTAACTTTTTTGAATTCAGCGCAGTAAAAATGATAAAATTAGTCAATAAATCTATTTTTGCTCAAAAATCTATCTGGATTACATAGAAAACTAGCTTATGTATACTCGTTCTTATTTTATGTACATTTTAAGTAAGTATATTTTGCGATTAATTTTAAACAAATAAACACCTATTTTTTAATTATGTTCCATTCTTGCTTGAGTGACAGTAGTTTTTATATGTCTAGATTGTTGCCTGTCAAGAAGTTATGAGTTTAGACACCAAAATCATATCTGTAGCTTATTTAGTTTCAATTTTATGCACATTTTAGATAAATTTGGCGGCCATTTTGAAAAATGGCCGCCATTTGTATACAAGGAGTAAAATCAAGTGTCAACAGGGCTTAGGGTGACCAGAAGGGATTAATTAGGATATCTGGCTATGTGGATTGCTTCTAACATTCCACTCCCCCTAACTCATTTTTTTCAGATTATTTTTCTAGTCTATCTTGGAGAACAGTAGATATCCTACTGTACAGGTTTCCCCAGTATGAAGAAAAAAGAAATAATAATTATTAACAAATATTCAATTTTATCATGTCTAGTAAACACTGTCCTAATTTATAAGTATTATACCGTGGCCGAACGTTTCACCGACAGACATTTGGCCTACAGACAATCAACCGAAATACCTTTTCGCCGAATGCCAGTTTGCCGACTGGACGATTCGCCGACAGACAATTTGCCGACAGACAATTTGCCGACAGACAATTTGCAAACATTTTTTATGAACATGTTAATGGATGGATGTGCCACCAGGATATGCATATTCAAACAGTTTTAAGGTGCTTTTTATTTTTCTAGTTAAGTTAGTTAATTAGTTAGTTTAAGTTATTTGTTATGTTTGATGCACCTCCTGAGTGCCGCTGATGTAAATGGTGTCTGTATAGAGTCAATAAATGATTTAATTTTTTTTTTTTTTTTTTTTTTTTGGCATAGGCCTATGTAGATGATTAATTTTCATGGCCTGACGTTCCACCGACAGACATTTGGCCTATAGGCTATTGACCGAAATAGCATTCGCAAACACAAGATTGCCTACACCACATTTCGCCGAATGCCAGTTTGCCGACTGGCCGGTTCGCCAACATTTTTTGTGAACATGTTAGTGGATGGATGTGTCACAAGTGGCATATTTAGATGATTTATTTTTCAGTTACGTGTCCAAAACCTTTCTAGTATCGAATATTGTGCACGGCTTACAGATATTAAATGTTAAATTATGTTTTGAGCATTGAATTTGAAACTCTAAAAGTTCTTAATAAGAAGAATTAGTAGGTCACTGTTTAAATCGTGAAAGAATTATTCTATTCTGGTAACATATTACTATTATTTATAATAACGGAAGGCCGTAATAATCTGGGGTGGATGCAGGGGCTGCAACGATCGATTATTCGAAGCTAATTTTACAAACTAAAGAGGGGGTTTCAAATCAAGATGGGCTTCATCTCGTGATTCATTTAATTATGTCCATTTAACTTCAAATTGAGGTTTTACAGTATTTATGAAACCGTCCTGTGGTTATTATAGCAATGATAAAGCATGAATGGTTAATTGATATTTAATACAAGTATGACCAGGGAACAGTTTAATTACAAGTAATTTAACTGTTTCTGGTATGACTGAGTGGTATAATAGAATAGTGTGTGTTTCGAACTACAAACAAAACTGTGATAAACAGAATTGAGGTGTGACAAGTGGAAAATTTGTGACTAAATTATAGATACACTCTGGATATATTTTGTACTTGAAGCAATGAAACATGACACACTTTTTTTTTATAGGAAATTTAGTTTTTTACATGTAAATCTTCCAAGTTTTCTCAGAAATAAATCGGTAAATGGTTTGATAATTATTTGTATTGTGATCTATTGTTTTTCTTGTAAATAATGTTCCGACCCTGTCAGACAGCCTCTCTGAAGCTATCTTCTGACAGGATGTTTCGTCGACAGACAACTTGCTGTGAGAGGTTTCATCGACAGTGTCCATTTTAATCAAAATATGCTCGTCTTCATCTAAATTCAGTGCTTTTGGTATTGTATTAAATTATTAAAGCAGGCCTAACTAGGCTTTAAACTCTTATGAACACGTTAAAAATATCTGTTCCTAGCACAGGTACAGTAGGCCTGTATAATCCAATTTAAACACTATCATCAATTGAAGTATTTCAAACCATTATTTTTGCTTTAGTTATTACAGTCGCTTATGATTTTCTTAGTACTAAAATATTTATTATAAAAATATAGATGAACATATGGTGTTTATTATAGGCCTGTATTTAATATTTTTGGCAGAATCTTGTATTGCATGATTAATATATTGAAAGTGTGTCTGCATGTATGGATTTATATAAATAACGACTTTCTATGACGATTAAGTCCTCCACAAAGAAGAAGAAAAAAAAAATTGTTGGAGAAACGTCAATCACAACATCACAAAAATAAATTGTGTGTCGGTGAATTTTCTTTCGGTCAACTGTCTGTCAGCCAAACGTCCGTCGGCAAACTGGCATTTGGCGAAATGTCCTAGTACCTGACCAGGATAAAAATCCAATAAAAATAATCTGAATTTGTATTGTGTTTACCTGTGGTTTAACAATTGATTTTTAGCACTATGAGTGTCATCCAGCGAGTTTTGCCCTGGGCCGCCTATTAAAAACCAATGATAAACATTGCTTTTTATTCTATTTAAAACAGTGTTGTTTTTTTTTTTATATTTCAGAAATGAATGGGATTATTTAACATTTGCACAGCAGTGGCCACCAACATTCTGCTTATCCCAAAAGGTAATGTAAGATATCTTGTTATGTATATTAGTCTTTTGGAGCCTCCCCAGTAGAGTGAATCTCCTGGAGGCTATTGTTTTTACCTGTGTTAATTTACATTTTGTCGTCGTTGGTACTGTAGTAAATTGTTTGTTACCACGATACAGTAACTAAAGTTTGGTATTAGTTGGTTGTAAGGTGATAATAAGAAGACAGAGCCTTTGAATTTTATCAGTTGGTTGATGGACAAATCAACCTATTTAATCAGAAACATACTTTTTCCCCATAATTATGTATTCTAGTATGTGAAATTTCCGAAGAAGGCCTAAGTTCATGAGGTAATTTAGAATAATTTGGTTTCAAAGTTTAAGCATTGTAAATATGACAAAATGTAGCAAAATGTCAACATTAATTTTTGTTAATAAATGAAGGATATTCTAATTGCATACACATAATAAGGCTGTATGTTAGTCTTAATCTCCCTAATAAACACCAATTCACAACTCAACTCTCATTTTAGAATACAAAATAAACGTTTTCCGTATCATTTTGGGTAATGTAACGTGAGTAACCAAAGACGTACAAATTTTAATTTTATCTGCTTTCTCAAATGAATTCAATCTTGAAAATCAGAATTTTCCTCCTTCCCAGCAACCTTAATGCAAATATCAAAGCTTGTTAATATTAATTAACAAATGTTAAAATAAATAGCAATTTAAATTTGTAACGTGAGTAACTATTGTAATGTGAGTAACCATATTGTAATGTGGGTAACCAACTTCTATTGAACGAGAAGCTCTATAACTGCATGGCTGAGTTAGTTTGCATGCATTTATGATATTTTACGTAAGGAGCTTAGCTCAGTCGGCTAATCTGGTGGTAGTCACTGTGTGTTTCAGTTGGAGGGCTGAAGTACAAGTATAGCTCACCGTCTTTCAGATGAGACGTTTAAGCCGTTGGTCCTGTGTGCATTTATGGCCCATGTGCACGTTAAAGAATGCCTTACCGTTTTCATTCATTCATTCATTCATTCAGTCATTCATTCACTCATTCATTCACTCATTAATTCATTCATTCATTCAAAAAATGTACAAAACGGTAGCATGCAGCTAAAAATGGCTGTATTACAATAGATACAGTATATAAAAATACATAAAAATACATTGCACTTCAATTTAAAACTTCAATTCATATTTACACCTAAGAAAACAAATTAAATTAAGTAATAAATAACAAGAATAAGAAACTATATAGGCCTATACAAATTTATATTAATGAGAATTTTTTTTTATATTATTGGATTACATAAAAGTAGATTACAAATATTAATTAACAATTAAAAATTATAAACTAATACTTAAAATACAAAAATTATTTGCAGCTCTTCAAAGTTGTGTACTGTACTATTATACTGTTTAATATTGCACAATTATTTACAGGCATTTAGTTTTTTTTAATAATATAAGGTTTTGTACAGTGTGTACCGTTTTTAAGGAAAACCACTAAAAATATTACATTTTTTTTATTACCAATAAAAATAACATGTAATAAAACATTTTCTATGTATGCAATGGAATAATATGCACACTAATTTTAGAAAAACCTTCAACGACGGGCGGAAAAAAAATAAAAATAAAATTTTGTTATATAATTTAGCAAAGTTAAGTATGCAATTGATTAATAATTTTAAATAGAATTTTCATGCGTAAAATTGGTCAACATCTTTAAAGATGTGTTCACTTGTGTTTTACGCATTAAATAGATCAACTATTTTTTTTTTAAAGTTGTGTTTGCATTATTGTGAATAAACTAGTAATATGAAACCACACTAGAGTATTTAGGTTGCATAAAATGCATCCAGTTTTTGTTTAAGCATAAATTTGGTCCACATTACATTGTGTTTAGGAGTATATGGTCCGTTTTTTTAAACATGACTCTAAATATTTTTGGTATTTTTTTTATAAGCCAAAAATGCATAGGCCCCTATTAGAAACATAACAATGTTTACCAGTTTAGATCAGCTTCGTTTAAAATGAATTTCACCAAAAAATACCGTATTGAAAGCCAAATGAAATTATTTGAGGTGAAATGGTCATTATTCGTTCAGTTATAATTTTTTCGTGTAAAATTGGTTCACATACACATTACACATTATTTAGTTTTTACACATGAAATGTGTAGACAGGTATATATTAGTTGGATTTTATGCATAAAATGGTCACTGGGTCAAACAATAAATATAAATTATTTATACATGCGGACCTATTTTCTAGAAATTTCCTGCACAAATGAAGAAAAATACTGACAATTTTAAATAAAAATGTGTACAGAAAATATAATTAATGTTTCAGTAATAATAATTAATAATTTTATAATCAATATATCAATCCACTTAAGTAACTGCAGATTTTTACAGTCCATTGACTAGACAGTTTAGCTAGCACATTGTTACTGCTCATGTTTTTCTTTTTTATATTGTGTATATCTGTTAATAATTAACAGAAGTTTGTAATTTTCTTAGAAATATTTCTAACAATTGAAACTTTCCATGAATTACTTTCCCTTTCCTTCCAGTTAGGTTGAATTTTTTACCTTGCACCTTTTTTCTTTACTATCCCTTTAATATCGATTTTCTTTTTAATATTGTTTCATCCTTTTTCTTATTTCATTTTTGATACTTACCTTTCTTTTAGTTTTTTCATTGTCATTTTCTTTTCACGATTTTACTTCTTTCTTTTTTTTTCTTTCCTTCATTTTGTTATTTCTTATTTATTATTTTTCTTGGTTTTTTTTTTCAATTTTAAAAAATCTCTTCTCTTTTTCTTTCATGTCTTCTTTCTTGCATAATAATCCATGGGAACAGTGTAGGTGTGGGTGGGTGGGGGTTTGTTAGGAAATATAAAGAATAAAATATTGCGCGTCGCTTATTATCTTAGGGGATGCGAAAAGGATGGGGAAATATGTGCTACTAAAAATATTACTTGTGCTACCAAATTTTTTTGGGGTGCCAGAAAATTTTGGCAGTGCTACCAAGAAAAAAAGTTAATTTCAAGCCCTGATAC